ACCAAGAGGCTTTCATCTGCTGTATGCCAGGTGGGAAAGATGATTTCAAGTGAATCTGAGCACTTATTTAAAAATATCCTCAGTCTAAGTACTTCATCAATAAACCAGGTGTGCTTACTACTTAAGCAATACTTTTTTCAGGAGCAGTTTTGAACCTACATGACTTGCACACATTACAAGAAGAAAGGAGTAACTGATACAAATTATTCTATTTTTGCCAGAGATAAGTTTAGTATCACATTGTTGTTGCTTAAAGAAGTTTTCTTTAAGGAATCTGGCAGCAGATGTTGTTAGTTTGGTAGTTTTGAAGTATTCATAAAAGACCAGATCACCTGAGTGATTCTTTGACAGCTTTTTAGACCAGGAAGTGCCATACTTACCTTTATCAAAATACAAATGCCATGGTACTTTGAAATTTTGATTTGGTACAACTTGACATTGAGATATAGTGTTCATTTCTTCAATTATTAGGACTTCTTTAGTATGTAAGTGGTGGCTAGAATCTTTTAGCAGTGTTTTATTATCTCGAGACATAGGCATCCTTCACAGTGTAGAGAGGATAGGACTGTACTAAGCCTTCTCTTTTGAGCCTTTGCAAGTAGTGACTGCTTGCAGTTTGTTTTCAGGGTAACTTTCATTTTTCTTCTCCTCCCTTGGCTTGGAGGAGGACCTGCACGCTGTCAGACTGGCTCGCCTCCCACTGCTCCTCTGTGATCTCTCAGTAGCAAAACACTGGGCCTGACTTTGCTGTCCAGGGAATGGTGGCTGGCAATGCTGTGAGCAGAGCAGTTGTGGGAAAGAGAAGTGAAAGAGTGGCTGCTTTCAGGTCTTTACCTGTATTTAAAGTGTGTGTGTGTTTCATGATTTGCCCTGATTCTTCTTCTCTGCTGCCTTTTTTAACTAGTCATTTTATAAAAGCTAGCACTGTATTTTTTCTTTTCAACATTTAAAAAAGACTCAAACCCAAGAGGTAACTTCATTGTCTTTTTGTAGTCAATAATAACTTGAGTGTTTGCCTTAGTATCTGCCAAAGTCCTGGAAAAAATGATGAAGAAATGATGAAAAATTATAGAAATAATGCTAGGCCTTGAAAGAACATTAGAAAAAGAATCTAACCCCCTACCCTGCCCCTCAATTTTTTTTTACCTGATAAAACTGAGGCCTAGAAATGATTTGTTCAGGTCATATGGCTAGGTATGGGCTGAGAGAGGAATCCACTACAGGGCTCCTGACTCTCTTATTATTCTCCTTTCTAGGGACCATGGTGACTGAGTGGAATAGGAGTGTGTGGAGAATATAGATTGGAAATAAAGGGTGAATTAGAATTCAGGGAATGTGTATTTGATGCAACTTATGCCAATGCTGCCCCCACCCCCGTTACTTATTTATTCCTGCACTGTACCTTGTAACTGGGCATAACTGTGGCATCTTCATATTTGAAAGTATTCCTCGTTTCTATCTTGCAGATATCCCAACTGAAAAGAGAGTACTTACTATACTTACATTCTGTGGATCTTAGTGTAAAAGTAGCAAACGTTCGACAGACTTCTTATACACCCACATATCAGTATTTTCTAAACTTGCTTGATTAAGGGAATTACCTGTGGTGTTCTTTTTGGAGGTCTGTGTTGGGGGTGGGGGGAATCTGTTTTCAGCATATTGGTCAAGGCGAGCTTGGAAAACACTACCCTACTTGAACCTACTGAAATGGTAAATGAGGAGTTGATATTTACTTTAGAATTGTTTCCTTTCTCTTCAGCACAGGAACTACTTTTTTTCTCTGTGACATCAGAACACTTAAATTATTGGTGGACTCACATATTTTACAGTCATGAATCCTTAGGTTTATTTGTGCTTTGGAAAACATTAAAAAGGAAAGATATGGAGGTCAGTGAACTTTTAAATTTAATAAAAGTGATGTTTGACTTCTAACTTCAGTTAGAAGCATTTTCAGAGAGACTCAACTAATGAAATGAAACATAAGAGAAAATGCCTCTTTTGCGTCCCGAAGACACTGATTTAATGAATATACCACAGTCATTCTTCTGTTGCCAAGTTATGTAGAAGATGATAAATGGAATCTTTGTAAAACAGTCCATTGAAAAAGTATATCAAATCTCTTGCCGAAATGTATAAAATGGACAAGTAAGGGTGTTTCGATTGTAGGTGAACGATGGTATTGAAGAGAAATTTACTCTAGTTTTATTAAGGGACTTATATTCAAGCTGGGTGTGTATGAAGGAAACATATCAAACAAGTTTACTGTTTCAGGAGTGCAGTGGTTGAGGCTGCTCACAGAAGCATTTAGCACCTTGGGCCAAACACTTTTCTTGGATACCAGATGTAGGAACTCATAAGCAACTTTACTTAAGATTATAGTTGTTAGATGAGTTGGAATGAAAATATGTTTTAAAATTGCTTGTTTTCTAAAGTTAGTCTGCAGTTACATTTATTTCAGTTATATATAAAAGATTACTAGTTTGAGTGAATGTAATGATATGTGCAATATATGTTCATAAAGCTGTAAGAAAAATAATTTTATTCTTCATTATAAGTGCGTATAACCCCTGTTGATGGCAGCCACAGCAGGATATTAAGAACTAACCATATCTGATTATTACATTTTCTTATGATACAGTAAAAATTTTAGAGGAAATTTTAGTGATTGGAATATTCACAGACTAGTTTTGTTAAAACTAGGTTGAGAACCTTTAGTGGGTCTTAAAAATTAATTTAGTGATTGGCAACTGGTGGGTTTTTACATTATTTTTAGTTCTAGGGATTTAACCCATGGCTTTGCACATGCTAGGCAAATGCTCTACCACTGAGCTTATGATCCCAGCTCTAGCAACTAGCAATGTTTTAAAAAAATGAAAAACAGACTAAAAATGATAGACCATCAACAGTGATGATAAATACTTTTTGGTAGAACTTTTAGTTATTTCTTATTTGGTGTGATATGTGTAAATGTGTATGTGTGAATGAGTACGGGGTTGCTACAAAACATGGAGATATGGTCAAAAAACATTGAAAGCCATTGTCCTAGTTTATAACTGGAGAATTTTAAGCTCTGTCAGAGACAGAAGACTGTGAGTTCCCTCTTGTCATGTCACCTTCATTGTATATATCTTCTGAGGGAAAGAGGCCTCAAAATGAAACGAGAAGAGGCTTTTGAAAGAAACTGTTTTGCAGCTAAATAACTGCAGCAGTTTGTGTGCCATATAAAGTAGTGATACTCGTTCCTCATATGCTCCTGCTGTCTGGTATGTCAAGTGTGAATTCTATGCTTTACTGGGTAAAATCTTCAGAGGTGAGCATCTGGGCAAAATTTAACTATATACTTAGTTGTTTTTCATATTATTTTCTCTCTTCCTCTTCTTCCTTTGTCTTCATGCATACATTCTCAGTCTTTTTTATTTCCTTCTCCTATTCTTATCTATTTTTGTTTCATTTCTGTAATATGAATATTATCACAACATTGCTTGTATTCCTAGTGTAACTTTTAGGAATAAAGGTCGAAATGCTGTCTTTTATGGCAAATGCTTAGACTAAATTACATTTTTCAACCCTTCTGGATGTGCTCCCAAGAGGGCAAGAAATCTTGGATTTCCTTTTGAGCAAGCCGCCATGTGGCTTTAGGATGGAGGAGCCTCTTGGTTGTGTTAAGGAATGGTCCAGTTGCTCTGATCTAGTCTTGCACTCCAAGTAAGAAAGGAGAAATTAGGAGTCTTCTGTGGACTGCCTCTGCCATCTTCTCACTTAGCCTGCTTTTTGCATTATTGGGTAGCACATGGAGCTTGTCGAAGTGAGACAGTGAACGAGCTGGCCATTTGCCTTTCTCTGCCAGGAGAGTTCTTTACCTGTTGTACTAGGTTTGGCTCCAATAGAGAGGAAAAACAAAACAAAACAAAATATATATTATATATATATATATATAGAGAGAGAGAGAGAGAGAGAGAGAGAGAGAGAATCTCACTATGTAGCCCAGGCTGACCTTGAACCTGTGGCAATCTTCCTGCCTCAGCCTCCCATGGCAGGCACCTGGATTATAGTCATGTGCCACCACACCCGCCTGAGGAGGATAATTTGAACTCTCACTATTTTGTCTTTTATTTCATGAGACAGTTAAGGGATCTCCTGATACCAAGAAAATCTGAAAATTAATCAAATATTTACAGCGCTAAATGAGGATCAGTAATACATATACATCAGTATATGTATTGAATTCACACGCAGTGATTTTTTTCCCTGCTCTGTCATAGATTTCTTTGTCCTGCTAAGATCAGTTCTACTACTATAGCAAAGGCCAATAAAGCAGGAGTTTAAACATGGTAAACAGTGGTTTATGTCTCATTAAACCTTCTGAGTGTAAGCAGTGCAGGACAGTTATGGTACCTCCATGGTGTTGGGGCCCTAGGTTCTTCTATTTTGTTGCTTTGCCACATTTAATGTAAAGCTTTCATGTTATAGCATGAGATGACCACTCTTGTTCCTACCACCAACTGTTAGTAATCCATTTATGAAATACGGAAGGAAGAGGGAGGGACAGCTCCCTTTGAAGACACAACCAGAAAGTGTGTACCTGCTGCTGCTGTGTCGTTAAGTAGACCTAGTCACATGGTCATGTTTGCCTGCAAAGGAGGCTGGGAGATACTCTTCATCTTGTTCCCCTTGCCCCAGAAAACATCTGTGAGGTATAAGGAGGATCTCCACCATAATAATCAACAGCAAAAAAGGTTTACTTATTTTTTTATAACACATCATTGTTTTATGGGGAGAGATTTTCCAGTGGTGTTTTTAAGTGGACTTGAACTACTGAAAAGAGGTAAGCTGAATATTAATGTATCCTTCTTTGGGATTGTAAATCAAATTTATTCTAATAGTTACAAAAATGAGTGTGAACTATGTTAAGAAACAAGGTTACTTTTCTCTAATTCTTATTTTTCTTTTTTTCTCCTTTCTTGAGGATAAATTCATACCTGCTTTTTTTGTGTTCCTAGGCATGGCACAGTCACAAGGCTGGATGAAAAAATACTTCAAGTCCTTCTGTAAGGGCTTCTTTGTGACAGTGCCTGTGGCGGTGACTTTCTTGGACCAGGTTGCCTGCGTGGCAAGAGTGGAAGGAGCATCCATGCAGGTGAGAATGAATCCAACTTCAGTTTTTAAAGCATAGGCTTTATTGTTTCTCAAGAACCAAAAATGAGAGTTGTAGTTCTTATTTCTATGCTGGGAACTGAAAGGTTTTAAAAAGGCATTGAAATGAAATTTCACTTTACTAAATTCCTTTATAAAATCATTGTAATGCACTACTGTTATAATCAGAGGAGAGGTGAATAAAAATAATTATCAAATACTTCTCAGGCTGAATTTGGGCTTCTTTCTGAGAACTGTAAATGAGGATTCTGAGAAATTTTATTGACACCATTTTCTGTGAATATGGCTACATTTGAGTACCCTTGCAAGGTCAGTTTATTAATACAATTGTAGGATGGGTTGGGGTCAAAGTCAGTTGTTCTACTAATACCTACTTTCACTTTGTAGAAAAGTCTAGATCACTGATCCCAGATATCCTTCTGTGCTCTTTAAGGAAGTTACTGATTGAAAATATTCAGTGCAGTAAGCTGGGCATGGTGCCATAAATCAGTAATCTCAGCACTCTGAGAGGCAGGAGGATGACAAGTTGAAACCCAGCCTGGGCAACTTATTGACTTAGTGGGACCCTGCCACAAAAATTTTAAAAAAGTAAGAAAGGCTGGAGATATAGCTCAGTGTGAAGGCGCTGGGTTCAATAGCAAGTACTGAAAAGAAAAACAAAAAGTTAAGGGCTGTGGAAGTACTTTGGAGTGGAGATTTCCAAAAGTTATATGTGAATACTTTATAGCCTTCTGGAAGAACTAGAGGAAATTTTACTGATCTGCAGTTGCTATTTTGAACTTCACTGTGTAAGCTCATGTAGTTAAGCCATCTTTGCATTTTGTAATATGATTTAGTTTGTCTCATTATTAGTATGTATTAAGTTCCTGCATTGTGACAAACGGCTTTGTAAAACAATAAGGAAATATATACTTCTGAGAAATTAAAATCATATAGAAAATGACCAGCTTAATTGTTTTCTTTTTGTTTTGGTTAGACTTCATTAAGGGCATAGACATCAGCTATAAGGAGTTGTGATGGATTTATCTTATTTATTGTAGTTATGGTATTGAAAATCAGACTCCTTACTGAGTTCTGGTAGTCAGTGGGATAAAGAAGGTCAGCACACTACTAGAGTGATTGCTCTTTGGATGCAGCTAAAGGTTGAGGGCAGGGCTGCCTTTGTATTTGGTTCTGACTGCATCCTTTGAGCATGGTTGGGCCTGCTGGCCAGGGTATTCTGACCTGAACCTTGTCTTGCAGGTCCCTTCCATAGCAGATCACCAGCCCAGAGCAAACTGACCACTTGTTTAGAGTGCAAAAATGTTTAAATGCTGGAGTACAGTAAACTTAGGCAGAGTGATTTACTGATATATGACTTTATTTATTTATTTTGTACTGGGGATCAAACTCAGGACTTTGCACTTGCGAGGCAGGCATGTGGCCACTGTGCTAAATCCCCGCCCCATATTTCTAAATACAATTTAACACATTTAAGACAGATTGGATTTTGTACTTCCTGCCTCTTTATTTCTGAATTCCTGAAAGCCTTGTCTTATACCTAATCTTTAGAGAAATGTAACCCATTTTTTGGTAGAGCTTTTGAATCAGATTTTTCATTTCAGATTAAAACTGCCTTCTCCATAGCAGCCCAAACCACATTTTGGTCCCCAGGGTTCCTTTGAATCCATCCATGGGTTTGTATCTTTTAGTGATGAAGAATCAGATTCATTAATTTCTCCAGTTTCTTTACTTCTGTCTTGTTACCTAACCATGTAGAAACCATGAGAAAAAATTTTCCAGAATACAAAACCTCCTTACTTTGGATCTCATAATAATCCAGAGGATCATGTGGCAATCAAGTATTTCAGTCTTCATATTTTTAACCCAGTATATTCCTATTAAGCACCTATGTTTATGGCTGTGAGAAGTGCCAAGAAGATTCATTAAAAATATATATGATTTTCATTAACAAGGAAGTGATTGTCTTATGAAAGGATGAGTCTTATTATCAGTGAAGATAGTGTTAAACCACGTCATTCCCAAGTGCAAGTCCATGGGCTAATGATGTCAGCCTTGCATTAGGTGCGTTGGTATCTGTAGGTGCATTAACATTGCCTGTAGTATTTTTGGGTCCCACCTCCACAAGAAGTGAAACTTATTACCTTGGAAATTTGTTTAGTTCAAATGAATTGTATATTATATAATATATATTTTTCCATTATATCATGTAGAATTTCCTTGGTGAGGTTTATTTAGCTCACAGTTTGTAGAGGTTTCAGTCCATAATTGGCTGGCTCTAAGGTGGGGTGACATGGCAGACAAGCCTTGCAGAGGAGAAACAGTTCGTGGTGGCCAGAGGTAGCAAAAGCAACAAGAGAGAGTTTGCCAGTGTTATTCTGCCCTTTTATCTTATTCAGACTACTGGGATTAGGGGGTTGCTAAACCAGTCACTCACATGTAGTGGTTTAGTAATCATGTGTCCTTAATCCCAGCATGACACACTCTAGATTCAGGCACCTCTGAAAAGGAAAAGCCCACCTCATCTACATGAGGCTTGCGGGGGACATCTAAACACAAGCCTGAACACTTGGCCTCTGGTTGTAGGGAAGTAACTTGGACTTCCATAGGTATAAAGGGGAACTTATTGGAGTGCTTATTATGTCCTCTAGAGAAGGAGAGGAGTGGCAGTTGTTAGGGTTCATTGGAGCAGGACGTGAGTGCTGTCAGAGTGTTCCATCTTCTCTCTGAGTTCTGTCTGTGCTCATTTTGGCTTAGTTCTCTCAGACCAGCTTTCTCTATATGGCAGGACACATGGCTGCTGGCAGCTCTTGTGCCTTAAGATGCCCAGTTTCCTCACCATCTGAGAGAGATCACTCTTCTTGCCTTCATTTCAGTTTGAAAAACCTGGGGAAAGGGCTGTGATCCATTCAGCCTGGATCACACAAATCAGTGTTGACCAGCAGGGTGGGGTATCATGATCGGTCCAGCTGTGGCTGGACAGCAGGCTCTGTCAGAAAACTAGAGCATCTGTTTAAACTGCCTTGTTCTGTGGGAACTGGGCATGGAGTACAGGTGTTTCGCAGCAAAGGTGATGCAGTTTTCAAAATACAAGTGGAAAGGATGTTCTTCTGGAAAAAATGGAAAAATACATGTTTATTATAGTTAGGTCTGTATTTTCTGAATTTGAGCCCAACTTTAGGTATAACAGATAACTTCATGTATAGTTTCATTAGACATCACTGTATCATGCTTAAAGTTATTTAAGAGGAGAAATTCCAGTAATGAAAATTAGGAATCAAGAAACTTCAACATATTTGCAGATAATAATTTTAATATATAGCTTTGATGAACTGAACATGTTTACACCATGAGTTTTAGCAAAAATTTTTGACTACTGGAATAAATTCTTATCTTGAAATTTCTCTAATTGTGGAGCTAAGTTCTAGAGCTTCCTGCAAGAAACACATCTGCTTCTGTCGACTCTGAGGCCTGAACATTACATCTGGGCTGAGGCACTTGGTTGGTTTGTCATGAAGAGGGGCATTTTGGGTACACGGAGGGTTTTTCTTTTACCAAAGTTTAGAAGTATGAAAGGGAGGCAGAAAAAGAAGAGGCAAGAAAGAACGAAGTGCAAGAAAGTAAATCACATAGATACCTAGATTGGTTGGGTGATGGAGGATGATGAAGGTAATCAGACGACTGGGCAGCGAACAGTGCAGTGGCACAGAGAGCGGGTGCTAAAGAGATCCAAGACACAAAAGTGCGAGAGTCTGAACTCAGGGACTGCTAGGACCCTTGGGGCACTTCCTTTGGGACTGCACCCTTACTGCTCATGTGGCTCTGCTGCGTGTTTGTGTGTGGCAGTTGTGGGAAGTGTCATCCAGCCACCCATTCACCCATGGCAGGGATCTGGCATTTTGAAGAGGCTCTTGTTGGTGTAGCTTATCAGTCTTGAGCACCAGTCATCGCCTAGTACTGATTCTCCTGTGTACTCAGGTAGAAAGGTCGTATCTGAGCGTCTCTGTGATTTCAGGTCTGTGATTAATTTTGTGTCTCAGAATATCATTTTGGGGCACAGGTAACACTGAAAAGCACTGCTAAGTATGTTAGAACACAGAGTCATTTACCAAATGGCTGTTACATACAAAACATTATGTTAGGTGCTCTGAGGGTGATGGATCAGAGATTCTGCTTTCAAGGTGCTTTTACTTTAATAGAGGAAGTTCAAGAATTATTAATCCTGGGTAATGGATAAATCTTCAGATGAAATTAACATGGAAGCTGTCAAGCTCTCAGATAAATGTTTTGTCAACTCCTGGTATGTTCAGAAATGAAGATTTGATTGGTTTAGCACACTATTTTGGTGAATTAACCTGGAAATTTGAATTAAGACAGAATGGTATCAGAAAATCACATCTGAATTTCTTTTTTGTTGGCTCGTATATTAACTTTTCCTATGGGAACAAACAACCCCAGGATTTCAGATCTATCTTTCTTACTCATGGGTCTTTTGCATTGGCTGTCATCACTCTAGGCTGTTGGTTGATTCAGTCTGCTCCACAGAGTGGTGGCTGCCTTGGGGTATGCTCTTCCCATGAGTGATAGAAGACACAAGAGGGTTAGAAGAAACACTCAGTGCTTTTTAATGTCTTGGCTCAGAACTTTAATCCTGTTTGCATTCCACTGTTCAAAGTAAGTCAGTGTCAAACCCAATGTCACTGACTGGAAGTGTATTTCCACCCTCGGGAAAGTCTGGCAAAGGTGGAGAGCGAAGAGAGGGTTCTGAGTTCATCTGCCACAGCCTGTGTGACCCCACAGAGAATATAGTTGATTTTAGAAGTCATCTAAAAAGTTGTATTTACCTTTGCATCTACCAAGAAAAATCCTTATTTTTATAGTCCAAGACTGACAAAATTGGGATCAACTAATACTGTGAGTCACTGAAATCTGGAATGGATTGATCTGTTTTAGATGTGTTTAGGTTTGAGATAGATAGGCCAG